CAGAGCTTACCGCTCGGAGTACTTACCACTGTCAATGCAATGTCACTCGCTCTCATGAGCAATTGATAGTATCCATCTACCAAATCGAGTGCACTGTACTTCGTACACGCCACCATGTTGTTCTGGAGAACATCGCCAGCCACTCCCAGAGCATGCCGCTGTGCTTACCGCTGCCAGTGGAATATCACTCGTTCTCATGAGAAATTGGTAATATTCATCTACCAAGTCGACTGCACTATACTTAGTACACCCCACCATGTTGTTCTGAAGAACATCATTTCTAGGAATTGGCGTTTGTGCCGGAGTGGTGGCAGTGTTGAGCTTATTGTAAGCAAGAACGATACGCCACTTACCGTTCGGCTTTCGAACACAGAACGTGAGTGACGATTGGGGAGACTTGCTCTCACGTACCATTCCTGCGTCTTGCTTCGCACGGAAAAAGGCGTCAATGATGTCACACTGCTCCTTGGGCAGGGGCCATTGGCGTGTTACGCATTATCTGGTTCTCGGAACCAGATCGATCTCATGACGCACACCTCGGTCCGGAGGTAGGATCGAAGGCGGGTGTTTGGAGACGACATCTTGAAATTCCTTTACCAAAAAATAGGATGAATCCAAGGGATCCCATAGGATCGACGATTCACTTCGTGCGTTCAGCACTCTCTTGGTGTCTTCCAAGACAGCTACATCCAGAAGCGACGACGAATTTATCTCCTCGTCCGGTCGTACGATGACAACTTCGTCCAAAACGCCTGCCTTCAAGGCACAGCCGAAATTTTTAAAGGTAATCTCATCCAGCTCAAGAAGAGCATCTACTGCAGGCATAGCTTCGAGGCGCACGTCGCCATCTTTCTCCCCCGTCATACCGTCGACGAGGGTGTATAACTGTGTACCGTCGTCTACGGTAGACACACCTTGGATCAGGGTCGAGGCCCAGCGTCTTACAGCCAGCATACGGCGTCACCGTCGCCTTTGTACATAAGTCTATGTCTCAGTGAGACCAGGAAGAGCACGCACTCCGCGTCGTCCGGTGTCACCCTCACTTTTCGCTCCTTTGGAGCTTTGACGTTATCGACAACATCCGACGAAGAGCTGCTTACCCCGCAGTCTTCGTACAGTGGATACCGAGCCACTCCACGCGCACCTGAATACCCGTAACCCAGATGCCTCAGACTCTGTTCGACCACGCCATCAATGGCATGCAGCGGATGCTTTGCAACGAGAGCAGTGCCCATTGGTTTTCGTTTAACTCCACCCGAATCAGGAGGACCTCGCCCTCGATGCCTCGGCCCTTGGCCGACCATGTCACACATGACATGCAGCGACGGCTTTGATTTTCGAGTAGCGCTCAATGGTTTACGTGTAACTCCACAATCAGCCCGCGAGCCACGCTCGGGACTCCTGTCTGATACACCGTTGGTGTCTACAAACTGGGACATTCCAATGTTCAGCACGCTGACCGTCTCGGTCCAGTGCTCTGGCCAATAGCGCTTTTGTCTACTAGCAGAGGTAGGTTCATGGTTCGCCAAAGCTTCACCAGGCGACGTGCTGCGTAGCGCCCAAGGTCTTTGACCGCAATCAATCCATAGATCTTGGTGTTCCAACCATTCCACTCCTAGGATGAGGTCATACCATGCATCCAAGTCTTAGACTAGACAGCGTTCCACGCTATCAAAGTCAAGAAACTTGACTCCGAGGTCCACAGG